GATTGGGAAACTGTGGTAAGTACTGAGAGACAGAAAACCAGTGTTCAAGAACACTCGCCTAGGCGCGTTTAGTAGCTAGGCGAGGAGAAAAAGTGGAGAGGAGGCCTGGGCGAAATGGCTGGGCGCAATAAACGCGAAATCGCGTTGAACGACGCCTAGGCGGCGAGTAATAGCTTTGATCGGCGATTCAAAGCTCTCGACGACGCCCAGGAAAAAAAAAAGGTCATGCTGTGCGTTTTGATGGGACGAAAAGGGGAAAACCCTAATGGGTTCTTCGATCAGTTGAGCCACCCACAGTCGATCGCGCCTCTCTCCTTCGTCACCTCTCTCCCTTCTCCAACAGCCGACCGCTCCAGCCGTCTCCAACAGTCGACCGCCTCCAGCAGGGGGCTTCGTCGCCGGCTGCAGCGTCCTCTCCGTCAGTCGAGTCGCGCGCCGTCGGTCTCCACCATACCCAATCGCCAGCATCGCCAGTCTCCAGCGCGCCGTCGGTCTCCACCATCGCCACTGCCCAGCCGTGACTCGTCCTCGCCGTCGATCTGTAGCATTGAATTTGAAGGTACTCTTCTTTCTCTTTAGATGTGCTTTGGGTTTCTAGCTGCGGAAATGGTTTGGTTTGGGTTTCTAGCTGCGGAAACAGCCGTGTTCTAGCTGCGGAAATGGTTTGGGTTTCTTAATTGATGATTGTGCTATGTTGAATTGGGGAATTGAAGTGGTGGCGGGGAGTTTTTGTTGAGGAGGGGGAGACATCTGGAAGGGATGAGACAAGTGGCGCTGGAAACTACTAGAAGGAGTGGGGATGGGGACGTGGAATTAGAGAGTGTTTTGTCCTAGCAGATTGCTAATTTAAAGAGTGTTAAAGTGTTTTGTGCTAGTAGATTGCTAATTTAGGGACATGATTTGAAAGGCTACTGAAAATGTGTTTTGTGCTTACAGGGGCTGCTTGTTTTTTTGTTAAATGGAGCAGATAGAGGCTACTGTCACGGCTTCAACGGTTGAAAATGCGAACTCCTTGAAGAGGAAGTCTGATGATATTAGTTGGCAATATGGAAAGCTTGTCGATCCAAACAACAAGGATAAATTCATGTGTAACTTTTGCAAGAATGTAAACTCAGGAGGAATTAACCGTTTCAAGAAACACATAGCTCAGGTTGGTGGTGGAGTTGCCAAGTGTAAGAGTTGCCCAGATGAAGCTAAATTGGCATGCTTGAATTGGTTGGAAGGAACAGAAAAGAAGAAGCAGGATAAGGTTGTTCGTGAGCTAGGTTTGAGAAGTGATGTTAATGTCTCTTCCGGTGGACAACAGGAAGAAGACCTTACTTGTGCAGGTAGCTCTGAACCTCACAAGTTAGGTCCTATAGACAAGTGGGCACGTGCCATTGATCCTAGCTTGTCTTCGAGTGCATCATTTCAGCAATAAAAGATAAATCAAGCACTTTTTAATGAGAGGACACTTCAAGTCCATCAATATATTGCAAAATGGGTGTACACACATGGTTAGTGAATAGCTATACCCTTTACTTCTTTCTTTGATGCACAATTTGTTTTTCTAATTTACTCCTGAATTTATTTTGTAGCTGTTGCATTCAATGCCATTGAGAATGATGAGTTCAAGCAAATGGTTGAGGCTATTGGTCAATTTGGTCCTGGATTGAAGCCTCCTACACAGTATGAGCTTCGAGAGCCTTTGTTGAAAGCTGAGTATGCAAGGACTAAGAGCTTGTTAAGTGATCGAGAGGCGGAGAAGGAAAAGAATGGTTGCTCTATTATGACTGATGCTTGGACAGACATGAAGAGGAGAAGCATCATGAACATAGTCACACATTGTGCCGAGGGAACCAGCTTTATAAAGTCGAAGGACACATCAGCGATTTCTCACACAGGTGAAGTAATCTTTGAGCTAGTGGACAATGCAATAGAGGAAGTTGGAGCTGAATATGTGGTGCAAGTGGTGACAGACAATGCTTCCAACAATATGGCAGCAAAGGCCCTCTTGTTGGAGAAGAGGCCGAACATATTTTGGAGTTCTTGTGCAACCCACACCATCAATTTGATGCTCCAAGGAATCGGCAACATACCAAGGTTCAAGAAAATTGTAGATCAAGCTAAGGGGTTCACCATCTTCATATATGGCCACCACCGCACCTTGGAATGCATGAGATCCTTCACCAAAAAGAGAGAGATCATCCGACCAGGTGTGACTCGATTTGCTTCTCAATTTCTTACTCTACAAAGTTTGTTGGATAAGAAAGATTCTTTGAGGAAGATGGTGGTGGATGCGAAGTGGGAAAATATTAAGGAGACGAGTTCAAAGAAAGGCAAGGAAGCTTATGACACGGTTCTTAGTGTTAGGTTTTGGAATGGTGTGGAAATCTGCTTGAAAATCTTTGAGCCATTGGTGAAGCTTCTTCGATTAGTGGATGGGGATGTGAAACCTTCTATGGGTTTTGTGTATGGTGAACTTTTGAAGGCAAAGAGAGAGATAAAGGAGGCGTTTAAGAATGAAGAACTTCGTTACAAAGAAGTCATTGCTATTGTGGAGAAGAAGATGAGAGGCAGACTTGATGCTCCATTGCATCTAACGGCATATCTTCTCAATCCTCACTACAGTTATGCCGACTCCTCAATATTTGACAATGCCGACATTACAACAGCATTGATCACTTGTGTTGAGCAATTCTACCATGGTTGTGATGAGGATATACATGATGAGGTGGTGAACATTGAGCTCACAAAATTTCAAAGGAAACAAGGACTCTTTGGAAAAAAGATGGCAAAGAATTGTGTAAACTTTGACTACAATCCTGGTTAGTACTTCTTTCCACCTTTCCTTGTAACTTATGATTTAGTGTCGTTCACTAACTTAGAGTTAATTAATTTCTTAGTGGCTTGGTGGAGAATGTATGGAAGTGAGACACCTCATTTGCAAAAGATGGCTATAAGGATTATGTCATTGACCTCAAGTTCTTCTGCTTGTGAGCGAAACTGGAGTACTTTTGAGTCGGTTAGTAGTTTTGAATTTGTGTCCATATGCTATATAGTAAAAGTAGATATTAGATGGAAGCTTGTATAATTAATTGTCCTTGCAGATTCATACCAAAAAGAGGAATAGGCTTACTACAAGTCGCATGAATCAACTAGTGTACATCCAGTTCAACTCTAGATTGATGTCCAAGCAAAGGAAGATAAAAGAGAGGAAGAATGTTGATGTTCTCATAAGTTCTGATTCAATTGAAGCACAAGGCTTTCTATTTGAGGGAGGAGATAGGCACACTTTGCATGTGTTTGGTGATGAAGATGATGAAGGTTTCGATGGCATTCCATGGAATGTTATTGATGAGGCAAGGGGAGCTAGTGAGAATCTTCAACCTCGCAGGAGTGCCAGATTAGTGAGAGACCTTGCCGATGAGGAGTTTGAGTCTGAAGAAGAAGATGACGAGGAAAGTGAGGCCATTCATTTCGAGGAGGATGAGGAGGATGTTGTGGTTAACAAGAACTATATGGATGAAGATGATGAGTGATCAACTTGGAGTTTATTAACTTGTCATCGCCTTTATGGCTTATCTTAACATTTGTCATGTTTTATTATGTTTGTTTCCTTCTATGTTACTACTTGAATGATTGTTATCTTGAATATTGTCAGTTACAGAACTGCAAATCAGTGAACTTATGAATGTTATGTTTGATTTTGCACTCTAAACTTACATATTTATCATTTTTTTTTCGACGTTTAATCTCGCCTAGGCAACGACTAATCGGCCTGGGCGCTGGGCGGTGCCTCCTCGCCTAGGTGGCGCCCAGCGTCTTCTTGAACATTGCAGAAAACGCCTTGTGATTAATGTGTGGAGAGCCAGGAGGGCCAGAATCAATGCCATACTGCAGGAGGTGTTTGAGTTTCTGCACATCTTCAGTGGAAAGTCCACGAACACTCAGTGATGGACTAGCACTACCATCAGAAAGAGTACTACTGTCGAAAGAAGGAGAGTCCTGAGAAACAGAACCAGCAAATGAACCTTCCTTATCCTTTTCTTTGCACTTCAACCGCCAACAATCCTTGATCTCATGATTGTTCATTTTGCAATAGCGGCAAAAAAGTTTCGGAGTGTCCCCTTCAGGCTTACCACGAGGTCGATCACGACCCACTGCTAATGCTACAGACTGACCAGGCTTGGAGTGAGCAGTGTCTCCCTTAATCTTTTGTTCATGTTGCAAAATGTCATCAAGAGCAGCAGACACAATAGGTAGGGGTTTGCGCATTAGCAATTGAGTCTTGACCACCTCATAATCCTTGTTAAGGCCACGAAGAAAGCGAATGAGGTAATCAGTATCATGTTTGGCCTTGAAGGCCTCAACAGCAGCACAAGGGAGTGGGTTACCAGGTGCACAAGCACATGGAACAATGGGGGAGAACTGTTGATAATCTTCCCACAACCCTTGGATCTTCGTGTAATATTGAAGAACAATCATATCGCCTCGTTTTCAAGCTTGAATCTCGTCTTCAATGTTGATAATCCGCTGAGCATTAGGTTGAGCAAAGCGGCGACGTAACTCTTCCCACAGAACACGGGCATTTTCATGACTCATCATGCTACGAGCAATATCTTTCTGTAAGGAGTTCATAATCCAGCAAAGAACAAGAGTGTTGCAGCCATTCCAGAGGTAATACCTCTCATCATTCGTGGGGGGTGCTAAGATAGACCCAACAACAAAACCCAATTTGTGCTTTGTTTTCAAAGCCAAGCGCATAAATCTACTCCACATCGAATAGTTGGTACCATCAAAGACCTCAAATACAATCGATTGGGAGAGATTCTCATTAGGGTTAAGGTAGTAGGGGTTACCAAATTGGATCTCGGCTCTGCCACTCTGATCTGACAATCTATTGAAGCTCCCAAACTGAAACGCACCAAACCCACCAAAAGTGTTGCCCGGAGGGGGAGTTTGCGGCGGCGTCTGATTCGTCCCGGCGGAGAGCAATCGTCAGAGCAGAGGCTCTGATACCATGAAGAAAAGTAAAGGAGGCGGCAACGATTGATCGAAAACCCTCAAAACCATGAGGTTTCCAGCTGTTTGTTATTTATACCGTTATACAGTGATTAACGACTTGTTTAAACTGAGATTGCCACGTGTCTCAGCTTGACAGGTTGTTATCCTGAGTGTTTAACGTCTACAAAGCATAACAACAAAAACGAAAGCGTTTACAATAATAAAGTAAGAAAACAGGAAACGTTTCTTCTCTTCTCTGGTCTTCGAAACTTCTCAGCTTCAGGTTACTGGTCTTCTGCTGCTGCACTTGTCTTCGAGCTTCCAGCTTGATCTTCACTCTCTATCAGGCCAGAACAGGGCCTTAGCATTGGGCTTACCATGTTTCGCCAAACAAAACGAGGAAGAAATTTCAAGCCCATATTTAAATTACCAACAAATTGGATTGAGGTATAAAAAGATGTTTCTATCTTAACCAACCATTACATAGAACTACTTTACAGTAAACATCAACTGAAATTTTGTCTAATTCAAAGAGAATAACACAGAGAAGGTTCTTAACTTAATATATTACACATTACTGTCAAGATTGAAACAAAGGGTTCTGTTAGAAACTGAGATGAGTTCTAATCATGGAAATTTTCATAGGCCAGATTACTGTAAAATGTGGCAGAATCATCAGTCCTCTGGCTGGAACAACGTATAGGTTGAGCTTGCTTCAGTCTTCGTAACCTGCACAAGAATGTGTCAACAATTATCAGGATATGGGAACTCATACATTTTAATAACGTAGCAAGAGTATACCAATACTTCGTGACGTTCACCAACGATTTCTGTGGATATATATATTTAACTACAGAGGTAAAAAGTCTGAATCCTGCTTGAGATAGAATCAAGATCTATTGAATAAACAGAGAACAGGAACCAGGGATACTGACCTCAGGGTTTCTGGATATTCCAGGAGGAAGAACAGGAACCAGGGAGGTCCAAAGTAGAGGGTCTGCCAAAGGGTCAACGCCACCATTGTAGTTGTTTACAAGCTGACCAGACAGGAATGAAGTTAACGGGTACATGTTCCCGTGGAGAGACAATGCTGCTGGACTCATTCCTAGTCCAGCTCCAGCTCTACTATCGCTGCTACTATTACCATGACTCATAGTCGACTTGTCATCAACAGCAGCTTTGCCATAATCCATCTTGTTAATCATCGTCTTATTTTCATTCACGTCGTTATTTTCCGTCCTTTGGGATGCTTTGTCTTGCAAGTTTTTGTAAGCAGCAGACTGTGAGAGAATGCTCAAGGCCGAAACTTTACGTTTCTTTGGTTCAGAAGAAACCCCTAGCTGGGGCATCTGGAATGGTTCAGTAGGCTGTACTGCCCACTCCAAGGTTCTGAGTTCTCGGGCAACATCGTCTGAAGAGCTATGCATGGGGTCCTCAGATGATCTGGAGATGGAGTCTACTTGACGTATTCTACTGGGAGCCCACCATTTGATGTAAGATGTTAGATCAATCTTTCTATCCATGCAAAAACTGCCAATATACTCATTTTCAGGATCATCACCTGCATCATAAGATTAGATACCACCATTAACATTTTAGGACCGCAATCACTTTTAAGGATTAAAAAAACAATGAAGTATGCTTTCAGTTCAATCTGAAATGTAACGTGACAGGAAGTAGAAAACAGAAACGAACTGAAATGATTCTCCAAGTTCTTAGAGATTTAACGATACCATAGTTCACATTACTGAAGTGCCCAGGTCCAGCCATACGTCCAATTGACAAGTCCCACCGATTACTTCATGATGCCCACACATATGTTAAAGGAGACGAAACAGAGTAAGGAAAAATAACACAGATAATAAGTCTGCAAGTGTTTGAATGGAGCTGTCCATGCACTCTTTTAAACAAAATACTGAAAAGTACTACTCAATAAACCTAGTTATGGCATTCACTTGCAAATGATTTTTTTTTTTTTTTGTATGAATATGCACATAATTAAGCTAGTGATATCGGCAAACATAGTAACATACAAAATGAAGAAATAAGAAAATACCTGGAAAGCCCACGGTACTTAGAGATACCTCTTGAAAACCCACTACTCTTTCTGCAGCAAACATTTTGTCACAAATAAGCACCGTGGAAGCAAAACAGGAAGAGCTTTTGAAGGTAGAATATACCTCCGAAGAGAGGCCAGGTATTCCTCCCGGGAGACATTCTGCATTTCTTCAAGATCTCTAGTATAATCTGAAACCTGCATTGTGCAAAAAAGACAAAAAGGAAATGGGGGAGGCAACAGATGGGAAAAAGATCAATACACATAGTGAAATGATTCAGTTGCAAAGATGAGACTACTAATAAAAGCTTCAACTTCAGAAACTTTCTCACAGGAAAATTAATGAGTGTGCCAGGCCCCCAATATTTCAAGGCAGCAAGGTCATATGCTCTAGCTGCAGCCTCCTCGTCATCATATGCCCCTGCAAGTAAATCAATAAAACCTCCAGTATCTCCTACAATGGCAGAAGTGAATTCCAAGAAAAATTACACAAGTTTCCTCACCCAAGTAAACTGGCCTCATCGAGTCGCAAATGCAGTTCCATGCATAAAAAGAAGATCTAATCAGTTTCATTACTTTAGCTGCATGTATGTTGACAAATATGAGCACATACCAGTAGAACAACATGTGCAAGACTATGAAACTCGAACCTTGCTTTCCCTTCTTATTCTGGTTCTGGTTCCATGTACTTTTATCCCAAAGGTGAGCTTCATAGCGACCTGTCCATCTATGCCTGATATTTAAATTTAACAAGACGAAACTTTAAGGTATTACACCAGAACTTGAAACAGCTGAAAGTTGAGATCAATGGCATCACTACCGCCTCACTCAGCACAATCCACCATATAACCCTTGAAGCTACGGCAATGACAAATGTAACATCTGTCTAGATGTCATGAGTTCACGACTGATAGTTAGAATAGACTAACCCTTGCATTTTCTCCCTCGGTTCTCATATCTCAACAATATCTCTATAACTAGTTAACTAGAGGATAAGCCCCATCTCACTTGACAGTTTCGATTATTGCATTATCTATTGCCTCTGCGGCATTTCATCAAACACGTAACACGCATACAAAATCAGCAAGTAACTTCCAATCAAAACCTACCATTTAAATCCAGCGCTGACAAGCAAGCTACAGAGATGGACTTTATAAGTTCCCACACAAAGCATACCTGGTAACCCCGCGGTAAATGGAGCTGCGTTTCCCAGCAGTACAAGGAGGCATCTTGCTAATTCGTTCTTTCGCAGTACATCCCCTGTCCTTCTTCGCTTTCTTCAACCCTCTGTACAGCAACATCTGATCGTTAGTAACCACGGCCGCCGCCTCCGAACTCTCTCCTCCGCCACTGCTGCTCCCAGCTCCTCCTACCTCCGGCTTCATCCCCGGGTCCGACGAAGATGAATCCATGATCCACAAAATCCTTCACTACTGTTCCCACCAAAACAAATCAGTCTCCCAACTTAGTCCATCCGAAAAAATCCGAAACTCAAGAAATGAAAAGTCCGATCACCTTCTCCCTCTTCATCTCACCTAGTCAATAAGAGACGAGTGCCGGCGGCGAGCCGTTGAGCATGCGCTGGTTACCGAAGTCGGAAAGAAGTTTCGGAAGATCCGAGCTATCGGAATTGCGAACCGGCAGGCCGAGCGAGGATGATAAAGAAGAGACTGTGAGAAATGAGCTCCCCTTTGTGAAATCGGGTGATCGGAAATGAAAGATGCAGAGAGGGAGAGTGAGAGTATTTTGAATTTCCGCCATCAACTGATTTCTCTTTTTCACCAGCTGCCTGCCTGTGACGTGGCGGTCGACTTCAACGGCCACTTGGTTTTGCTCGGTTTTTTATTAGTAAAATACATCGGGTACCACTTAAGTTTGAGAATTGGGCAGATATACCATTTAAGTATGAATAAGGCGTCGGGTACCACTGATTCTATTATTTGTGCACCCGGTACCACTTAAGCTTAATGTTAAGTGCATTCCGTTAAGGTTAAAAGAATATTTTTGGAATATTCAGTATTCTAAATTTCATAATTGGTCCTACTTTTCTTATTGTAAAATATTATTTTGACTTATGAAAAACATCAATTTTTATTATTTAGTTGGTATCCTCTTTTGAAGACTTGATACCAAATTAAATTTTTGAATAGATAATTTAGAATAAATTATTATTATAAGTATTTTTAATAATCATTATGTTTACTAATAATTGAATTATTCCCTGAAGCAAATATATCCTATGAATTATGTTTAGTTGAAATCCTCTTTTGAAGACTCTGATACCAAACCAATTTTTGAATAGAAAATGTATAATCAATTATCATTATAAGTATCTTCAATTACTGGAATATGTTTAATTCTTTCTTATTGTGTTCCATTTATTCTTCTGTGGTTTTGATGTATTGATGATCTATTAAGTTCTATTTTAACTATTTTTAATGGTACTTCATTTATCCTTCTTTGATTTTGTGTTCCATTTATCCTTCTTTGGTGTTCGATTTAATTGGATTAGAGGATTAAATAGATCTTCTAATATTAATTTTAAATATTTATTATTATATTCTATATATTTATCATTCTTCTTGACATTGATTTATTATTTTTACTAATTTATCTATTTTATTGACAATATTGATTAGCCATTTTAGTAATATTATGTTTAGAAGGTTTTTTAATTTCTATATTAGATAAAAATTTGTTAAAATATAGTTTTGTATGTTTTTAAAGTTTTGGGTACCAAAAAGTAATTATAATTTTGGGTTGGATGGACTACTAAACGGATGCACATTTTGACGACTTTAATGGTACCCGACGCCCTATTCAAATTTCAGTGATATGTTTTTTCCAATTCTTAAACTTAAGTGGTACCCGAGGTATTTTACCCATTTTTTACCGGCCAAATACGCGAAACGCCTACAAAAATACGACAAATTTTGCGGAAACGTGACTAATTTGTAGGCTAAATTATAAATTTGGTCGCTTAATTTTATCAGTTTTTTCCTGTTTAGAACTTGCAAAATTTTGGGTAACTCATTTTAAACCTCATTTCATTGTTATCACTGATCACTCATTTTAGTTAAATTTGTCTTAAATGACGGTATATTAATTGACAACTAAATAGATGATGTGAGAGTTCAAAAATGATAATAAAAAAATTATTTTTAATTTATATCTAACAACCACAATAATTAAAAAAAGGCTAATACCACTACAACACCCGAACTATCGCGAAAATGCCACTTGTGTCCTATTGTTTCCAATATTCTATTCATGTCATGAACTATTATATTTTGTGTCATTTGTATCCTGTCAATTTTGTTGACCGTTAAAGATAACAGTTGACCAAACGGCGGTCAACTTAACATTGACTTTTGCTTACGTGGCAATGCAAACTCATTGACACCTCACATTTTTAATTTAAATTAAATAAACCTTTGAAAATAAAAAATTGAAAAAACTTTAAATTCAAGAATATTAGTAAATAATATTCTATAACCTCAAATTCAAAAAAAAAACTATTCTCTACCGATTTGCCTCTCTCGCTCTAAAAAATTTCCCCTTTTGCCTCGCCATCTGCTTCGTCAAGAACGCGTTTGGCGGCAGTCGCACCCCGCCATCGGCATAATCATCCCCCATCATCGTCCTCCCCACACAGCATCGGAAAGGCTTGCTGGAAATATTCGGCGATTTCACTTTGAATCGATCTCCTCGCCTGCCAGCATCTACGAATCATGCAATCTATGACGAAAGAGTTGGGTTCACTTCTCTCCATCCTCGTTGAAGAATTTCATCAAAAATCAAATTCATCACCGCCACTGGCGTCGAGAAGCTCCGTGGGATTCCATTCTCGTCAAAGAAAGCGGAGTCGGCGGAATCAGACCAAATGGACAGAGGAGATTCGATTCAGCGACCTGACCAAACAGATCTGAGAAGAGCTCTGAAATTTGAAAAAGGCTGGGAGCTTCTTTAGCTCTCTGTTCGGTCGTCGTCTCCAACTCTAGTGGGGTTGGCGATTGAAATCCCTTTTCGATTTAGGGGTTTGCACATGGGGGAAGAAGGGGAACAAGGAGATGAACTTGATTTCTCCGATTTCCCTCTCCCAGGGCCTCCCCTCCAAAAGAACCCCACTTCCTTCACTTCCTCTCGACTCTACCGCCTTGGTGAAGTCTCTGTACTCGCGCTTCACTGTCAGAAAGTGGGATTCCTCGGCGGGGGCTTGTTTTTCGGATTCAGTGAGCGGCGGTGGTTGCTGGGTGCGGCGAATTTTGTTCAGCTTGCGGTTGTGTGTTTTGAATTTCTTTCTTACGGAGGGTGTGAACGATTTTAGGCGTTGGTTCCAAGCCTTTCTTTAGAAGCCTTCGTTTGATGGTTTCGACTTCGGGTTCAAATTTTTTAGTGGGAAGAGAAGGAGAAGGAGAAGAGGAATTGTAGATCTGGATCTTGGGGAAGAGGTTGGGTGGGTTAAATTTTTATTGTATTTTATATTTTAATTATTTTCTTTTTCTTATTTATTAATATTAGAGAGAAAAATAAATAAAAATTAATATTTCCAATTCCACGTCAGATGCCACATCAGCACTGACTGGATTTTCTATTAAAAACTAACGGTCAACAAAAGTCAACACTAACGGAATCATAGTTCAGGACACAGATGGAATATTGGAAACAATAGGACACAAGTGGCATTTTCGCGATAGTTCGGGTGTTGTAGTGGTATTAGCCCTTAAAAAAACAATGAAAAAAATAAAACTATGTTATTTGTAAGCTAAATTTGAGAAGAAGGATTGGAGTTGCTCTAAGATGAGAATGAGGAAGCCCAGGAAGGCCGAGAATAATCGGAACTAATCAAATTCATCATCCCCAAGTTCTTTATCCCTACCACGACAGTGGAATGAGTAGTATTGATTTAGTAATGTACTTCATATCTTTAAATCTACAAGATATATAATGGGAAAATATGAGTTGGAATTGTCTCATTTCAAATTTCGAGGCGTAAGAGCGATTTTAGGAAGGTCATTTTTGTCATTGCACCCAGTTCATTTTTACATATTAAAAATGTTATTATAAGGGTTCGAACCTTGGTCACTCAAATGAAGAAAGAGCATTATAACCAACTAGGCTACAATATTTTTATTGTTATTTTTTTTATTAAACTCTAGAAATATGTTTGGTGATGATGCTTCTATATTTATATTTTATCTTAAGTTATTTATATTTTATAAAAAAAGAATAGTTTTGAAATCGGAACTCAAGTAACATTGATTCGAACATTAATATTAAATTGTATGTGTAGTTTAGTTTAGAAAAAATACAGAAGTGTAACCGAAATATTGACCTTTGTGACGAGTATATTCATTTTTTGTGACAAATATACACATAATATAATGATAAAATTGAAAAATGAGAGTTTCATTTCAAATTTCGTGGTCTGAAAGTGATTATAGGAATCTCTATTTGTCATTGCGCCCAATTTATCTGTGTATTATGAGTAGATTGTCACAAAAATTACTATATTTGTTACAAAGGTATTTTTTTTGTTACACATATGAATTTTGTCTAAACTGGACCACGACATATAATTTTATATTTAATGTTTGAATCAATATTACTTGAGTTTCAATTTCACAATTAATCACTTTCTATAAGATATAATAATTTCAGGTAAAATATCCTACCTACTTGGTTGAAGAAGCTCTTTCTACAAGATACATTTAACGTTTTAATATTTTCCATTTCATATTTCATAAATCGAGAGTGAAAGTAGGAAGAGTAAGTTTGTCATCACAATTATTTATCTACTTCATATAAAAAAGTATCAATATCAAGATTTAAACCATGGTCTTTTCAAACAAAACAATAATCACAACCAATTACACTAAAAAAATTTGTTTTATCTTCTTAAATTTTAAACATACACCAAGCGAAGATTTGAAAAGAAGAGGACCTTTCCATCACGGTTAGCTAGCCTATTAAATTTTTTATAACCTATACAATTTCGGGTAATTTCAAAATTTCAACCCAAATTACATTGCTTGAAATATTACATATTGAATGCAATATTGAATATGAAAAAGCGAAATAGAATTCTTTACATTAATATAAATTTTCAGAACTACTATGAAATATTATTATTTTGTACAAACTATAGGTGAATGATTCTCTAAAATTTTAGCATGGTTAACTGCTAAACATTAAACCTCTTGCTAATCTGGCATAAATGGACCCTACAATAATGAGACGATATTGGCCCTGGAACAGAAGTAGAAAAACATCAATAGATTTACAATCTTCTCGCGCTCTCCCAACGAGGAAGTTCAAGTAATTGTGGGGTTTAATGTGATGTTCATTTCGTCATTTTTGGATGTGTAGATTAACTTATAGAGCATTAACATATGAATGAGTTATAATTAACCTCACTATACAATTTTTACTCTTTATAATAATTAATTTAATCTTAATATTTTTATGCTTGAAGTATTTTATGTATGAATTAGATGTATACTTATTACTTGTGACATCAGTGTTAGGTGGTTCAAATGTAATATTTCATCAGGTAGTCAAAATCGAATACTGGGTACATTTATGACTATTTTTTTATCTTGGTGTTGTAAGTAGAAACTTAATTATTAAAATGCATATAACTATACCTAGGCACATGGTCGAGCTAGCACGACACTGTTAGCGTATACATGAAGACAATATATGTGGATCGACCCCGCATATGCATGCATGCTTCATGGGATCGCGCACAAGTGTGAGCACCATA